AGATTGGATTTGTTAGTAAGGCTCAAGTATTTCATGTTCAAAACAGTATACTGTCAACTGAGAATTGCTGTACAAGTTTTAGGAGTCAAAATAAAGACGAGCCATTGATGATGAAGGAAGTCATACACTAAAAATATTTGGTGACTTTTATCTTTACCGTTACAGATCTTGCTTCAGTCTTTTTCGTGTCTCTTTCAAGTGATCTTAATAAGCTTGGTCTGCTGTGAAATAAACCTAATAAAAAATAATTCTGCTAGTTTAAATAGTGTCACCAAATGAGAGCTCTACACTTCGATTACATATTTATATGCCGGCAAAGTGGTTACCATAACTTGGCAAATGAGTGCCGAAAGACCACCTTGGTTTCTGGTGAATCAAACTTGTTCTTTTATTCTGCGCAATCGCGATGTGATAGATATCGGATCTCAGTGAACATAAGTGGTGCTGCTCACTGAGCTGTCGAATTGGGTTTTGCTGTGAAAATATTTGTTGAAAAGAATTCTCTTCTTGCTTTATTTTTAGCTGTTAATTGAACAAGATATTTAATGAAACATCAGCAAAAGATAAAACCATTTTTTTCAGCAATCATAACCGAAATAGAGAGGTGTTTGTAGTTATTAAAAAAGGAGAAGAAGCTGACTTTGAACCTCGTTATCAACAGTGACGAAAATAATAGCAATAAACTGCGGTAATAATAACGAAATCAATAATTTTAGTACTGCCAACGGGGACGACGAAGTTTTTAACAGTTAGCTATAATACTTAATTGGAGGTGCTCTGCTAATGGCAATCTTAACACTTCTTTTTAAGCATTTTTAGGCACAAAAGTTAACTAGTTTTTCAATTTACTGACTGCTGATAAGTTACACTAAATTTTAATTTCTAAACCTTTATATAAATTTGGGGAAACTTTAAAATAGCTGATTCTACGGCTGTATTTCTACAGCTCTTTCGCAGCACCGTAGTTAGGACAGCCCCTAGGTCGGCATTTCATTAGAGCAAAAACGAGTTTATTGCATTAATTTCAATAAGTTCTTCAGGAAAATATTATTGTTGATATACTGATTACCCTGAACAACAAAAAAAGGCTCTTATACGAATCTTTGATAGTAAATAAAGTGTTATATAGCAGAGGAAATTATTATTATAATTGAGCACTTTGTCTACGACTGCTCCTTTCAATGTCAACCTGTAAACTGCTGGTAGGACCTGCAACTTAAAAAGATACTTTTTGTTAATTTTTGCTCGACCCACTCTTCTCTCAGAAACACAAATAAAGTAGAGAACAGCTGCCGTTAATGTAGCAAAAGTCTGTCTAAAATGTTTAGTATTAAATAAAAATTAAGAATTTTCAGAACCACAGTTTGTCAACCTTCTTTGCCTTTTTTGTTCCTTTTCTGCTCTATTTAAAAGATCTATACAGTTTATTTAGAAAATTATCGCTAGTCTACAAGTATTGACTTTTTTCACCTAAAGCAAGTATTCTTTGAATGATAAAACCACAAAATAAAGACGAGTTACTAATTTTTATTTTCTTGTTATTTTCAACGACATAATTAGCCGCTTGATTTATAGGTCAACTTTTTGAACCTAAAGCATTTCTGCGATGCTACTATAGATTTTTGCTGTGTTCATGTAGCTCTCAAGATATATGCTGTTAGGCTGTCTCTTCTAAACCTTTAAGCTTCTGAAAAATTTACTGAATATAAATGTTATAAACTATTGTCAAAGCTAAATTATTGCACCAAAAACAGACTTTTTTGACAGTGATAAAAAAAGCATTGTTAAGTAGAAGTTATTTACAAAACTTTTTGGCAGATGATATATTACACGCACCAACAGACAGGCATAATAATGTGAAAACAAAGCAATAAAATCCTTCTTGTTGAGTTCATAATTTGTCAAGAGTTAGAAAACTGACGCTGGTAAAAGACTGGACAATCTTTTCAGTGTATTACTTTTGTAGAATTCTTATTTTTTTTTGCTACAAACGCTGTCTTATCAGCAGAAGTGGCATTCTAAAAAAAAATAACCTCAGTCATGAAGGTCATTCATAAAAAGTTTGAGCATTTAAAATAAACGTAAACAAAAATGTATTTTTTAATGTTTAAAATTTAATTTGTTGTGCTGTGTACACTCAGCAATAAACTGAAGTCAACGTCATCTACAAATGAACATATAAAGCTGTATTACGATTGTTTTCTGAAGCACCAGTGAAAATACAGACGAGAACAAGTTGCAATTATAACTGTGAAAAAAATTGAGCAAATTTTTCACTAAATTTCTGTGCTGTTTAGTATTTTTTAGAACAAAGTTTTTTTACGAGTATACACGTCATATACCGTTTCAAATGACTCTTCCACATCCACTTTAAGTTTATTGGCTAATTCTCAAACATTCGCCTAATATTTATTTTTTGATTACGAGCGAGAAATTTTTAAATTTTAATACGATATAAAGTTGTTGATTTTAAATTTAAAAAAATGTATTTTTTGACTCCGGAAAAGTCCTGCTTTATAATTTTTACACGAACAAAGGTAGCAGCTTTTGTTGCATGGGAAACGACCACGCTAACGCTGATAGGCATGTTCACCTACCGCAAAGCAGAATTGACGACTTTAGGATAACTGATAGCTTGAAAAGTTGGTTCAAAGTATAATATCACCTGGAAAATTGTCTAAGAAAAAAAATGAGTTTAAAACTTCAAGTCATCGTCTCCGATAAATATGATAGCAAAAATTTATTTACTTATATAACCAATCTTAAAGCGATTTAACAGTGTTGGCCGATGAGTTTTAGAAGGTTAAGAAATACCAACAGCAATGAAGAAACTCAAAAATCTTTGTTTTTTTTTTTTTTGAGCAGTCATTTCCATTCTGTACTTCTGAATGTCCAATAAACAGTTAGATAACAATTTCCTGAAAATGTCATTTGTAAATGAACCATTTAAATATTGTTCTTTAATTTGTAGGCGAAAAGCGATTTTGTGCTGGTTAATCGCATGAGACAAAAGACTGATCATCAGAATCGGCGAGATAAAATTGCGATTGTTGTGAATCTCATTTTTCACTAATTAAAAAAAATTTTTTTACAACAATTGCTTATAGACAAATATTTTTGTTAACAAAGCAATGATTTTGCGATATTGCCAAACCTGGTCAAGAAGAAACCTCTACTAGAGTTGATCAGTCAGTGTACATTGTTAGTTCTAGACAAATTGAATGGCTAATGTTTTCGATGAAATTTGTAGATGAATAATTGATGTAAAAATATCTGTCTTTGTGAGCAAAAAATCTAAAAGTGAGAAAAACTTTCAATTTATTCTTGTAAACAATTTTTTGAAGATAAAGCCCAAGAATTTCTGAGCATTTCAGTTTCAAAAAGAAATTTTATGCAAAATGCTTTCATTGGTTACCGTAAGTAAAAATTTCTGCAAAAGGCTTCCAATTGTGGCGAAGACTGTCGAACAAATCAAAAATTTGTTAAAATGCAATAACGGTGAAGAAATATTAACAGACTCTTAAATTTCAAATCATTTGAAAACACAAATGATAGCAGGATTTATAACAAACATTTTGGGCATTTCTCAGTAATACTCAAGCTGCTGTTGATTTTTTGATTTTGCGGCTATTGAAATAATTTTAGAGCGAAAAAAAACTGTTGCCCGAAGCTCATGGCGAACAGTGGTTGATGTTTCTGAAGCTAAGAAAAGCAATTTCACTAAAAGCACTAGATGCAACTAATCGGTGTATCACATACTAAAGCGATTATTCATATAAAAGTGATTAAGCTAACAACTGCAAGACCTTATGGTAGTTCAGTGTAAATATTTCTGATTTAATCTTAAGTTGTTCTGACTTTATTGTAGTTTGCTTCCAGTATTTAGTGACTATATTAAGGTAAACAAAAAACTGAAACGTTCACCACAATAATGGTGGTTTATTGTTGCTCTTTGTAAACTTTCTGCTAATGAAAACTTGCGAGTGTTTTGAGAAATGACAAAAAAATTATTTTTCTTTTTGCAATTTTAAATTGCTTTTACATCTTCAAAAAAATAGTTGATAATGTGTTATAATTTAGGGTTTTATATCGTAGTATAATTTCCTGCGGATTATGGATGATTTCAGCAAGCTAAAATTATATGGTAAGTTACTGGCTATAGTGCTTACTCTGTGGTAGGTCCTCTAACGCTAAATGCAGCCGCTGTCACCGTAGAATTTAGCGATCAAAAATAAAGTATTCTTTCAAAGACTTCAAATCGAAAATGTCAAATTATGGACAATATTTTGTCACAAAAAACTGAAGTTAATTTATATTTATTGATGCTAAAAAACAGCGGCTATGAATTCAGTTCTACAACTTTGAAAAAACTTGTTTTGCTTTTCAGAACTTACTCTACTTCAAAAAATAAGCATAATGTTTCTTTGTTTGGCAGTATCAGGGGTCTTTGTTTTTGTGTTCTACTGGTCGTTAAAGGGATTTATATGGATCATCAGGAACAGGTCTGCTTTTATTATAAAACCACTATAATTGTCATTTTTCTTTCCTGCTTCTTGTTGGCGTTTTATTTACAGTAAAAAAGACTTCTGCCGGCTTCAATCAAGCTTATCAAAGCGGAAAAAGTGCTTTCTTTTCTAGTTAGTTCATACAAAATTTTTACAGTTTGAATAAACAAGAAGAATTGGCTTCTGCTTTGCCATCTACTAAAGAAAGCACTTTGGGGAGCACCAATGATAACGTCACGAATTGTCGACGATGGTAAATTGACTGTTTAAAAATGCTTCACTGTTTAGGTTTCGTTTCAATAAAAAACAAAGTGCGCAAAAATTTGTTCAACAAATCTCACACGACTTTCTGCAAGTCTTTTCAAGTACTCGACTTTCCAATTTGCTGCGTAAAAAAAAAAAAACAAAAATATAAAGAAAAGAAAAACCTTTGCCAGGTTTTGGCAACGAAATCGATGTACAGTTCAAGGAGTAAAGCAGTTAAGACTGTATTTAATGACAGAAAGGGAAACAGTTCGAAGTAGTGAACCAACAGATGCGGTAATCGAAGCTACAGGTCGTGACAGTGTAATAGCAAAACCAGACAGAAATGAAATTTGCCAAATTACAGTTGAGGACGACCCTTCGTCACTAATTACGCAAAAACCAACTCTACCAAAAGTACGTAATGTACCAAATGTACAGTACAATCGTCAATTTTTGCTGAATCATTTTGGTCGAAAATGTTATAATCCAGAAGACGAATTTCTTCCCTACAACCCATGGCGCAGCACTCGCGGTCGTCAGTGTTTTCAATTGGGAAGGAAGGCAGAGGCTAATTTACAAACAAAAATTGATGACTTTGATGGATTGATTCAAGGGCTGTAGTCATTGAATACAAAACCTGCATCTACTAAAGTCACCGCTTTTTCTATTGTGGTTACATCGACAGCAGCAACGATAGCGCTGTGAGAGACTACAGGAAACAAATTTCTGATTGTTGTAAATATGCATAATTTTCTCACCATATGCCATTATTAGTAGAAAACAGGTCTAACTTACTAAACGTGTAGAAATCATAAACTTTTGCTCAATTCTTTGCTATAACTTTGTTATCTGCGACTAAGTGAAGCCGATGACCGTTCTAGTTCATATGTTGATTTGCAACAAAGAAGGCAAAATCAGGCTCAAAATGCATTTTTCCTGCAAGTTTTCAAGTGAACGATAAAGCAAAACAAACAGTTATAAAGATCAGAAGTTCTGCATAAACGCTGAACGCTCTTTAGAGTAAACAAAAAAAAGTCCAAAAAAATTTTGCCTAAAATAATCGCTTAATTTCTTTTTTGCTTTATTATAAATGATTACGCAGTAAAATAAAAAAATTGGAAGTGTTTTACGGGAGGACTTGCAAAAAGTATGAAGATTAGAAAAATGAATGAGAAAAAGAAATTGTGAACTGACTAAATTTTCTTTTAGAAACGACGGGCAGAGAATCGCGAAAGAAAGAAATCAAAGTAGAAAAAGCGTTTTGTTTAGTTTACTTATATAAAACTGCTACGCTATCAGTATAACTACTGCTACTAAATTATTTACATATATATATATATATATATATATATATA